AACTCATTTTACAAACAAATTGTTTAATGCTTTACACAACTATAATTACAGCAGCAAAGATGGAGCCCCCAAAAAACGGCGCCATAAGAAGGATGATGAGTTATACATTACAATAATAAAGTTGGAGTTAGAAGACGAAAAATACAATGGACAATGCTATCGCACATTGTGTTTATTGAGCCGTAAACAAATTCCTCAAGTTCCATCCACCACATTATTTTTTCATTCCAATGCCAAAATTTTAAATCTATTTCCTTATTCAAAGCCAATCAAAATTGAGTTGGAAAAGTTGGAAATGCTTTTCAAATTTACGCTTTGTTTATTTACTTCCATAGTAAATAAAGAGTTTGTATGTGATATTGATAAGTTTTCATATCTAGTCGCCCCACTTACTCAATATGCGCCAATTCACGAAAATTCCTTTGATTTTATTGACTGGTATGAAGTTGAGAAAGCAATAACACACAAACATTTAAAAGTTGAACTGGATGATATGTCAAAGTTGGAGGATGCCGTTATAATTGATTACTCTGATAACCTAAGACATTATTTTGTACAATCAATCTGTTATGATCTAAACCCATTATCACCAATACCACAAGGAATGGCCATAAGAGAAAAGGGTTGTCAAAATTTTGGTGAATTTTATAAAAAAACATTTGAACTTGAAGTAGAAAATCTTGATCAACCATTAATTAAAGTTAAAAAAATTTCAAGAGTCATGAATTTCTTACAACCCATACCCGGTGCACTTCCTATATTAAAAGGAAGAACAGCAACATACGTAATACCAGAATTTTGCAAAGAATATTCGATCAAAGCTTCAGTGTTTAGGTCTGCGCTTTTATTACCATCCATATTTACAAGGTTGGATTCACAACTTTTGGCATTAGAATTAAAACATAGATTGGATCTACCTATTGATGATGAATATATGCTATCGGCATTAACTACAATATCTGCAAATATGGAAATGAATTATGAACGCCTTGAGATTCTTGGTGATTCATTTTTAAAATTTTGCGTAACTGTTAGATTATATGTTTCATTTCCTGAAAAACATAAAGGTCAACTTCATAATCAACGTGTTGAAATAATTTGCAACAAGACACTTTGTAGAAGTGCAAAAAAACTACATCTATATGAACATATAAATTCCTTGCCTTTTAATTGTAGAGCATGGAGACCTGCAAATATGATAACCATTACTGATGACCCAGAAAATTCAAAAAAAAATAAAGTTCATGATTTAGCAGATAAAACACTTGCTGATGTGGTAGAAGCCCTTTTAGGAGCAGCATATTTGACTGGGGAGGAACAAGCAGGACTTAAATGTGCTAGGGCATTGGAAGTTCCATTTGATGATATTACTGAATGGGAACAGTTTTATGAGAGGAATAAAAACCTACCACATGTATCTCTTAAGGATCATAAAAATGTAGATTTTAAGAGGATTGAGGAAATTTGTGATTACACTTTTAATCATAAGCACTTAATTGCTGAAGCACTCACACATGCCAGTTTACCCAATTCTACAACTTTGTGTTATCATCGTCTTGAATTTCTAGGAAATGCTATATTAGATTTCTTGACAGTAAAGTATATATATGAAAAATATCCAGATAGTTCACCGGGAATAATTACAGTCCTAAAAGATGCATCGGTTAATAAGAAAATTCTTGGGGCCATTTGTGAAGTAGTTGGACTCCAAAAACATATCATTCATTTTTCAGCAAAATTATTAAGTGCCATTACAAATTTTTCATCTATAGTTGAAGATATGAGAGAAAAAAATGAAGATCATGGTGAATATTGGAGCGACTTGGAAGTTCCCAAGGTTATGAGTGATGTGATAGAAAGTATGCTAGGTGCTATATTTGTAGACTCAATGTTTGATCCTAAGGCTTCTCAAAAACTTTTTGATTTATGGATCAAGCCAGTTTTGAGTAAACATGTTACTCCTGATACATTGAAAGTACATCCGGTGAAAAAACTTACAGAAATAATGCAAAAGCATGGATGTGCTCAATTTTTGTTAAGGTAAACTTTTAACTTTTAATATTTTTATATATATTATATTTATTAATAATTATTTTTTATTTTTTATTTTAAAAATAGGAATATTATGACAGAAAACACAGAAATGGAAAGTCAACAGTGTACAATATTTGTTCATGATACTGTAGTTGGACATGCAAGTTCCATGAGTAATATGCAAGCAGCAAGAAAATTGGCAGCACAAGTTGTTCTAGAAAAAATTGAGAAAAATGAGACATACCTTGATTCTGTATGTAGTTGTTCAGCATTTCCAAAAAATGATAATAAACAATAATCACTATTTCTTACACACACATTCTCAATCAATTGGCATTTTCTTCTTTCTGTTTTTTCTATTGGTAATTAGACTTTTTTTTGAAGGCAAATTAGCAATGTCTTTATCATTGAATTTTGTTTATTAAATAGCCTGCCTCTCAAGCCATTGATGTATTAGTTTATTCAAATAATGATTTTACTTTATAAACAGTTAAAGATTACAGTGCATTAATAATCTTTCCTATTTACTAATTGGCAATAATTAAATTAAATGATAATTAAAGCATTTGTTTTATTTTCAGCAAGATCATTTAGCATCCCTGTAATCTCAATGTTCACTTTGTCTGGTTTTGTTGCAGTACTCCCCATATGAAGTTATTAGTTTAACATAAATAAATATATTTACATTGAAAATCAAGTATAAATTAGCTATTTAATTAATTT